CCATCTCCCACCCAGAGGATAATCAATATGGTGAGGTGGAATGCTAAAAAGAGGGGCACAAGTAGGTAAATGGGAAGAGCTGACTATAAGAAGTACCAAAGACAAAATACTGTCTTGATATACTATGGGTTTGGGAGTTGCCTTAGTCGTATTTATAGTTTTACATAAAACTTTCTATTTCAACTTGTAAGTATAATCACAACTGAGCACTTAAAACTCTCATGCAGGAACAGTGTCCTTAGTATCTCAACAATACTGAAAATTTTAATGATCAGCATCTTGCAGAACTGAAGGAAGCCCTACCCATTCCATGAGAAAGGTTTCCCAACAGAAAGGGCTGTAAAAATGCGAACAATGTGGATCAAGACAGCACTCTCAACATACAGTTTAAGCCTCCTAGCAAATGGGAAACTCAAGGGAAAGACAGGGAAAAAAAAAAAAAAAAGATCACCAGGTTTATTTCTGGTCAATGCATCTAAACAAGCAAAACGTGTTTGTCTGTGCCAGCCTGTGTCTGGTGAAAAAAACGCAGTCCTTCACGGAAGCACAGCTTCACGCGTTTACAGGCTGACTCACCAGAGGCTTCTGGACACGTTTCATTTCTCTATTCTAATCAACCTCACGCCCTGGGAGTGTTACGTGCAACATCCTTCCATTTCACACACGTTTTTACTATCGTGCACTGTCTCTCATCTACATAGTACATAGTGAAAAGCTGCGCCAAAGCCAGAGATGAACTGTGCAGAAGTACCTGGCCGGTCTCACTGACTTTCAGTCACCTTTTTCCTTCAATTTCTTTGTCCTTCTACTTTTTATTAGATCTCTTGTATGTCTTTCATTGACAGTCTCTTCCACAAGGGATGTTTTTGCTCCCCCACACAGACTCACTCTTGTTTGCACTCTCAGTATGTGTATAGGTATACAAGAGCACACTGGCAACAGAAAGACAAACATGCACAGCATGGGCTTACACCCAACCTGCTCTCCAGAGTACATCATCCTGAGAGCCTTTTCTGTTGAGACAGCTACTGCCTCGTGCTACAAAACAGAGAGAACCTGCAAAGTCATCTTTGAAATAGTGCCAGTTGAGCCAACACACATCAAAAAGCAAGAGCTTTGCTTTTTTGTAGTTGGAGAGACAAAGAGCTCTCTCATCTGGAGCGCCAAGGTCAAAACAAGACATTATTTTGAGAGCGTGCGAATTAATTACAAATGCTGCTTTTTCTCATTTATTTTTTTCCAGCACTAGCATGACCGCTAATTTACAGAAGCAATCAGTAGAGCAGGCCCAGGGCTCTATCCAGGCTCTACTTTCACCATAGTCACTCCCATCTGCGTCCCCCAGCATTGCACGCTTTAGCCACCATTCACCAAGTGCAAAGTCCCTTCTACTTCAACAAGCAGTTATGAAGTGGCCAACAATTGGCTCTACTGGAGTGTGTACTGGTCTTTGATATAAAATATGTTTATTTCATTGAAAACAAATGTTAAAATAAAATTTCAGTCTCCTTTATATATGAAGAAATCTCTAAGTCCAAGTGAAAAAGTGAATCCCATCTAAAAGAGTCTTTAAACAAGGGCATCTTGCAGTGCCAGAAAACTGCAAATGACCAGAGGTTTCTGCAACCCTAAATTTGGTGCTCATTTAAGATCCTGTTAAGTAAGCTAAACATGTTATTTACAAAGGAAAATAAACAAGCAAAAGAACAGGTTTTTTAAATGCATAGTTCAAATGTAATCAATCTTTCAATAATCTAATACAATTGATGTACAAGTAACAAAATCACTCTGGCACTTCATTACAAGAGTAAGACATGTTGTTTTCTCTCAGTAGAAATTATTCTTCCCTTGTTACGTTCTTAAATGAATGAGAAAAGTACGCTGAAGAGGCATCTTTATTTTTCTCCTTTACACGTTAACACTTCCTCCTTTTGCAGAAGACACTTGCATGTGAGCTAGACACTGACATGCCAGTCTTTCAGAGTCCCACTGATGATAGTTAGTGACACTGAGTGAAAAAGCAAAATGCTACAATAAACTTGATTTAAAAAGAAAAAAGAACAAAAAAAAACAGGAGGAAGGAGGAAGAAAATAAAAGAATGAGCAACTGAAGAAGAGGGGACTGGTAAGCAATCAGATACGTACCTCCTAATGCAGAATAAGCAGAGACAGCCAGTCACAGAACAGAAAGGTGATAGGTCATAGGCCATAAGGAAAACAAGAAGGCACATTTAAACCACTCATTAAAAAATCATAGCCAAAACCAAACCAAGAGAAACTCACAAATAATATGGAAAAATAAAGACATACAAAAATAACTATTTGAAGAGAAATCCTTGGTTTTGTACACAGAAAACTGTGTTGAAATATCACACAGTTTTCTGAAATGACCTTATGGAGACTTGGTTGTTATTTACCAGTCACATCATGTAAATACCATATGGCATTTCCTTTTTGTCACTGAGTTTTTATTTCTCATCTATCAGAAATAAAACTCCAAAGTTTGAAACAAGATCGCTAATTTGGATACACAAAAAGTAACAGCCTTCAGATGTAAAGGAGTTACTTATTTTGGTTCATACATTTTTAAATACAAATTACAAAGTTAATCCTATTACCTTCACAAGAAAGCAGATAGACATGGAAGCAGCAAACGCATTAACAACAAACAAACACATAGCAGCAAAACTGCCCTTATAACTAACCTAATTTCAGCAGCCAACCTTCTCTATCTGGATTAAAAAATGTATGCGTTAGATCATTTCCATCATCCTCTGGAATTTTAAACGGCTCATTCTTAATACTTTCATATAAATTCTAGAAGAATAAAAAAAAAACAAGAGGAAAAAACCTCATTAATAAACGTCTAACAGAAAATGCAACCAGGACATTGTACTGCTTCTCAGACTATTTGTATGAAAAGCACAGGAAATACAGTCCATAAAATCCTGGACCATCTTTTCTTAATTGTTGTTTACTACATTGATTAAGTTTGATTTTTAAGCTACTTCATCTATAAACGGTGTTTCTTTTTTTTACAGATTTTATAAGCACTCATTTTTTCTTTAAATTCAGTATTCAGTATTTCAAAGGTTTCAGCTTTGAGTCTCATTTAGTACAAGTTTTGTCAAAAGAATCTGAGTTTTCAGAAAAAGGTTTAGACCATCAGACTGTCTTAGCGAGATAAGTATTTTTAATCTCAAAGGACATGGGGAAGCTCCACAAGACACATGGAAAGAAATGAGAAGCAATAACAAAATAATGATCTTTACTATTTTTTTCCAGCTTTCTCTGAATTATCCAGAAATACTAGTATTTTTTTTTCATAAAGAAGCCAATTCCACAAGAGTTTTGCCATCAGCAAAGTACTGAGAGAGTGTTTTCTCTGAAATCTCCTCTCGTTAACAGAAGATTGAATACAGGAAGAACTAGCTCAAAGCAGCTGTGAATATCATAAATGCTTTTTTCAGCTACTCAAATGGTTATGCATGCTAGAAAATGTTCTTCTTGCTTTGTCTCGGCAAATCTGCCTGAGAACTGCTGTATGCGCTTCTAAGTTTCCCATCAAAAACACAAAGCAATGCCTTGTCTTACCCAGTCTAACTTACCCGCAGCAATTCTTCGGGAAGGTCTCCACCTTCATTAATCCCACGATTCATAGAAATAAACCTCTCTACTGTTGGTTTATCTCTTACATTGTGGTTGTGCAGACTGGTATTTAACATAATGATGGCAAATGACAGCACATAGCATGTATCTGAAATAAGATTTGAAAAATGATTTCTCCCTCTGTGTTGCAGCAGAAACCCACAGAATGAATATATAACTCATCCTGACAGATAAGAAAAAGAAACAAGCAGTGAAAAAATCCTGAGCACTATACATGCAAGCAAAGTCTCATCTTTGTTTAACTGCTGAATAAGCCTGAGAAGAAAAAATATGTAACAACTCAAATTAAAAGCCAGTATGAGAAAAATGGTACAAGATAATCCAAATTTTTTAAAGCCCTCTGAAATCATTGCTGTCACTCTAAATTAACATTTCGCTTGAAACACTGAAGTACTCTTGGGCAAAATGCTCTCTATGCACAGATTTTGCCTAGATCATATCAGTAGCTCCTATAATAGACTTGGTCGATCAGACTTCTACTTAAAGTACTTCCAAAGCTTTCTCCAAAGAGAAAGAACAGTCTCTTCAAAATACTTGAACTGCATTTAAACAGACTGAAAATGACATTGACTCAATTTCTTGGCATACAAGCGTGGCTAGTACCACTGAATACCAAAAGATGACAAAGGAGATCTTATCATGACTCTTGACATGTTTATGATTACAATAAATTCTCCCAAAATTCAAGCACAAGATACTGTGTAAGAAAAAGCAGGATGGAAACCTCTCTGCTACAGAGAGGAAAAATGTGTTTGCATCTTCAGCATTTCGTTTTCAGTATTTTCCTCTCTAGCTGTTGCAGACCTGCTTTACATTAACCTTTTCCTAGCCCATATGATCCTCAAACTAAGTCATCAAGAGCAAGCTCCGTGTGTATAGAACTAAACAGAGCAACACCACCAGAATGGTAGGGCACAAAGCTTTGTAGGCTTTTCTGACTTGAGGAATTCTAAATCAAGTTATTCAATGGAAACCTGAGGTGCATCACTAACTGAGATAACTCATTGCTCAACAGACTGCTAAAGAGAAAGGATACAGTCCTCATAACAAAAATTTATGATTTTCTAGATAATATACTATAACCATGTGTAGGTGGACTTGATACAGAGATAATCAGATATAAATTCCTCATCACTGACAGATGAGACTACCCAACCTTCTATGTGTTTTACACTTTAACTGGCTTAGATATATGTTAATGCTGAAGTTTTATAAACAGAAATGCATTCTGACCATAAGCTTGCACCTTCTAGAAACAAAGCGTAGGATTAGATAGTTGCATTTGCTCAGTTGTCTGAAATTCCTCATTTCACATATTTTATCTTGAACTTTCAAATATGACCATCATGTCCTTGCATCAGATGTAGAAGAACATATATGATCCAAAAAGATGTAAATATACTTAGGAACTCACGTTGTTTCCTGTGACTAACCTGTAGACTGGAAGACTCCTGGGTTACAAAGGCAATAGCGCGAAGCAAAAGCTTCCATCATACGATCAATTTTTTGAGCCTCTCCTGGGAGTCTGAAGCTCCACAGAAACTGCCTACAGAAGGCAAGAATAGTTGTTAGACTCAGTCCAATATTTACATATTAATCATATATTACTAATAGTCAGAAACAAAACAAAACCAAAAAAAGCAATGCCTATATAAAATGTCCTAGAAATATGTTCTCAATCTCTCAACACACAAGTCAGGAGCTATTATAAAGCAACATGCACAGATGGCTAGCCCAGTAATTCAGCCAGCAACACTGCATGCTATCAGGCAAGATAATATGGCAGTTCATATTCTGAGACTCTCTTTTTTTCCAGACTAGTAAACAATTTTCTGTATGCATCCCATTTTTGCCATGAGAATGCTACAGGGAAACAACCAGTTCGATTCTCCCTGGGTTTCCTGGCTACTAAAAAAAGCAATAAACACTCAGCTAGACTTTACCTACAATGTAAAATGGCAACATTACATAAAATATTTCTGGTAGGGGAGAGAAGCAAGGAATAAAAAACACTTAACAACTTTACCTGAACTCCTCAAACATTTAAAAACCAGTAACAACAAGAAGAAAAACCCAGTGCTTAGAGAGGTGCTGCCTGTCTAGTTTAAGATCACCCTACAAGAATCAGACCCAGGCCTTAAAAATAAAGATTCATGATATCACCGCAGTAATTTTGTAATATATGCAGGAGATCTGTGTTCCTGTTTAGCAACGTGAACTGAAATAGAGTTTTTACGTTCATAAATTACTATTTCTACTTATATTTCTTCATACACTGGAATGCATACAGGACAGAAGTCTTCACAAATTTACTTTTGGCACACTGTGGCGCTAAAAAGCTCCAGTGAATTTAATCACTTATTCTTTTCTGTCTTAGCAGAAGAATTATCCAGATTAAACCAGGACCTAAACCAGCAAAGTTACATGCTCTGCCATGCAAAACAAGTTCTCAATATTCCCTGTATGCTAGGTGCCCATATAATAACTATTTATTCCTGTCTTCATCAGTTTTCATTTTAGGACATTATATTAAAATGTCGCAGGCCATCTTTAGTTTGTCAGCTCTATGTACTGTCTTTTACTCACCTCATGCAAGGTTCCAACCCAGATCACGAATTTTGTAAGCTACCAAAATACAAACATTTAATAGTAGCAGCTGCTGAGGAAGAATAAAGTCAAACCTAATATTAAACTGGGTAAAAGATAGGAATATGAAGCCTCTCAGACAAGCTTCAGCAGCCAGAGAAAAGGCTTCCTTAGCTAAAGCCCCAGGCAGCTCAAGTTATCACCACCACATCACTCAACCATAGCAAAGCTGTTCTGACTCCACATCACAAGGCACTGCACCAGAGACAAAGATCACATGGACGTTTCAATTTATTTGATGTCAGGAGGGAGTAATCTGTGGCAATGAACTGGCAGAACTGTCTAAATCAACTCAATTTGCCAGATCTGATTTTCACCAAGACAAGAAGGGACTTTACAAGGTCGCTGTATGCTGGCATCCCACATAAATCAAGCAGGGAAAAAGCCTATTAAGATACACTTTATTTCGCATGACAAGTGGGAAACTCTGAGGAAAGTAGAAGGAAATTGCCCGATTCAAAGTTTACCACTTTGTAATTGAACATAATCACCGATTACGGTCAGCAGGCTTCCCCCCCTCCCAGCCCAGAGGAACAAGTCAAGGTGGAAGGAATGGAGAAAGAAGATGCAGCAAAGAAAATTATTTATTTGCTTGGGTTAAGGGGTTGTTTGTTTTTTACCTATCTTTGTGCTAAGATGTAAAACAGATATTCAAATGTCCACATATGGCAGGCACACCAGTGTTACGGCTATGTTTTGTTCTTTTTATCTGTCTGAAATAATTAGTAGTTTTCACCTCCAAAGGCAGCACACACACAAGCAATTGGAAGGTTTAAACCAGAGCTGTCTCTGCTAACTTGCACACTAATACATACAATTGTGCTGAGCTGTAGAAGCTTCCTGACCAATAAATCAACACAGTGACTCATATGAACGTGCAATTTGATAAAGGAAGCTCAGGTAAAAAAAACAAAAAAAGAAAGAATTTACTCACCTTAAGGCCTGTACAAGATTGAGATCAGCAAACTCATGGAGTTCAACAAAAGCCTGAAGAACTTTAATATTAAATTCATCTCTAAGAAATACAAAAATGGAAACAGACAATTACAATTCTGAACTTTAAAGGCTTGTTAGCTATCTCTGTTTGCTTCTGAGAGTACGCAAGGAAATAAATTATCACACTAATCAAATCAAGTAATCAGAAATAGCTTACACATTCATTTGAGTGGTATTTTAATATTTAATACTACCACTTTGACCATTTTTGCTGGTAGGTTAGCAAGAGCCAGTAGACTTGAACTGATTTTAGCACTGCTTATTTAAATGACACAAAAATGACCTGGCATTCTTTGCTTCACATTTATTATTACTGCACCTGCCTTGATATGGGAAGCTACCTGATAAATTTACCCAGTAAATCTGCAGAACTTGGGCCTATACTATACTCTTACTCAAAAATCATTACAATGAAAGTTTACTAAAATCAGAATAGGTTTTGAACAGGCTACCTCTCACCTGTCTTTTATATTGTTACGTAAATTATGAGGCAAATGATACTTCATTTGATACAAAGGTGTTTAAATGCAAAAGTAACATTTAATTATTAATGAACACAAAACTATTTGGATGCAGACAGAATTTAGCCTACACCACCACTGAGTTCATGTGCCAGAGCCTCTGGGTGTGCTTTAAATACATCACCAAGACAGAATGTTGCACATCAGCCTCCACCCAAAAACAGAAAGGTGTGCACCCACCAAGAATTACCTGCTGCATTACTGACTAACTGCACAGTCACACTGACCTGTCACACTCTGGAGTAAATATCTTAAAACAAACCATCCATTCATTAAGATGCCTCCAAATTGTTTACGGAAAAAAACCATCAGCTCTGCCAAGCAAAACGAAGCAATTCTCATAAAATCTAGTAATGTGCAATGCAACTGCATGGCTACGTTTCAGTGCAGTGAAATAAAGTGGCACAGAAGTATAACAGAAGAGAGCACTCAATAAGGGTACTTTGTTATTTTAAGCCAAATATTGATTTTGCTTATATGTACATAAAGCTGCAATAATTCAGAATAAATACTAGCCCTATACTCTAATTTTTGCTCTTCTAGGTTTTAATGTAGTCTGGATCAATAGTGATACTTGTGCTGGGTACAGCTTCAAGGACACAAGCTAAATATCATAAAACGTCTAGGAAGCCATTTAAAAAAATAAGTGAACACTTAACCCACAAAAAGAAATCTTAAATCTTTCATAGGATGTAATTCATCCCTTACTTATTGTACCTTTTTAGATACTATCTCTTTCAGTTTTACCATTCACTTTTTTCAGTTTGACAAGTGCTGTAACGCTATAGAAGTCAATAATTTAAAATATATCTCCTATGGCAGAACGCTATACAAATATTTCATTCTGTTGACTATCCTGGTCTTGTCTTCAGCTATATTTAGCCAGAATGCAGAAGTAATTCATGATGAGCCCTTGAGAGGGAGTAGCAAAGTAAAAGAGAACATCCTCAGCCTCCAAACGCCTTGATAACAGATAGTGCCTAACTCAATAAAACCTCATCTGTAATATGCACAACTATTTGCATAGCACAAATCACTTAATAGCCTGTTTCTGAGGTAGTCGCAAAACCAGAACTAGCAACTTAAGACCACCTCAATTGTCACATTTTATTTTATCCCAGGGTATTTATTTCACCCCAGGACCTAAAGGCCTAATACGCTGTTTCCAGAGGAACATGAATAAAAACTATTTTGATGCTAGGAAATTAATGCTGCAGTTCAAAGTTTGATGAACCAATCCCCCATTCCAGACCTGACTACCTTGAAATATCCATACACATTCCTGAAAATCAGATTGGCATCTCTTTACCTTCACCCGCCCTTACTAATTCATGTAAGTGGAGAAAAAAAACAGACAGCAAAACCATTTGCTTTCCCATTACCATATTAATATTACACCCTTCACAGAAATCAAGAAACACGTAAAAAACAAAGTCAACTGACTGGATACATTGAATAAAAGCTTCTTTTAAAGCAAAAAATAATTTTAAAATTATTTTTCACTTCAGCTGCTCCTTAAAATGGATAGGTTGCTTCTGTCTTGTAGCAAAATAGGAGCAGTATGTTAATTTTTTTCACTTCTCCTAAGATTTTATTATCTAGTTGATAGATTTATACAAAATTGTGTGATCAAATTTCCTATTCAGTATGACCACTGCATTTATCTGTATTAAGATCTTGAAAAATTCAGAAGATATAACTGAATTGCATATTTATCTGTGTACATACTCAATACTAAGAAAGGTTGCCATGTGTTTTTGGCTTTGACCACAGTGCTTCAAAAGAATAAGCAATAAATATTTTTTAATTTTAAATGTATACCCATAAATAGTCACAGGAATATTATTGATTACTCCAGTAATTCTGGACATATAGGAAGGACCTTTCTGCATGAGTACAGGGGTTCTGGGAATAGAACTGAAAAAACTGGAAGTATTTCAGGAGACAATACCTAGGGAGAATGCAGCTCTCAAAAACAAACACAGGCTGCTTTATACAGGCTTTCTTACAGTTTTGCAATTATGGACATTAACATGTAAGTGATTCTATAATACTGATTGCCCAAATATTCACGAGAAAGAACATAATGCTGTCATATAAAAATTGTTGAAATGTCTATGTATACTATACAAAAACTTCATAGCGAAGATCTATTTTCAAAATGTACACATTACAGTGAAAACTTTCATTAAACCTATTAAAGTCAGGAGGAAATTGCTGAGCACAAACTAAGCCATTGATGCTGCAAACAGATTAGTGGTGCTCAAAAGGGATGTGCCAGAACATATCATTACAGCAGCATATCCTAAATGAGTCAGCTTTGAAACCTCCGTAACTGGCACCTGAACATGTGTAAGCACGTACGTACATGCACTCCAACCTGCGCTTCACTTCTCTCTCTTTCAGCTGCCTTTTCCAAAATCAATTCCTGGGTTGCACAGCAATGGAATTAATTTGCACTTTTATTGTGTTTTGCAATAGTATGCATAAATACTCATGTTGCATGTTTATTGTGCTAGGATTGATAAAGATATGGTGTGGCTGCCCTTCGAGACACTGGCTTACTAATGGGAAGTATGTGCGCAGGGAAGAATACCACACAAAAACCTGCTTATAACTATTGTCACAGAAACAACCCATTTTAATAAGTAATTTCTTTACTATCCAATTATTAGTGATTGCAAACCACTCCTTGTTTGGGCACAGTATCAAGAGTTAACGGAACTGTTGCAATACAACTCGCAGACATTCCAAAAGCTTATGGTATTAAATTCTGCACTACAGCCAAATTTAAAGCTATTTTCTCAAAATAGTAAGTTACAATGGATTAAATATCATTCCACAATGTACCCATTTAAAAAGAACAACCACCTAACAGGAAAAAAAAATCATAATACTGTTGTAGTTTTACTTCTCACTGTAGTTTTATAGATCTCAGAGTGGTAGAGTAGCTCTTTCATGTAGCCTGTGAAGCTGAAAGTAACTACCAAAACCCATAAATATGCTTTGTAAACTCAAAACCAAAGTTTCAATATTTGTATTTTACCTTTCACCGAGGTAATCTCCAATTACCGTTTTATTTAATCCTTCTCCTTTATAAAGGAACTGTGCAATGTCTTCTGCAGTGTTTTGCAGGAGGTCATTTTCTATCAGAAACTGTATTCCCTAGGAAAAGCAATTTCAGAGGAAAGGGAATGTTATGTTTTCTTCCAGAAGCATTTATGTAAATACCATTCATAACATTTGGTATTAATATACTGACAAAGACATATACATAACACAGTAAGAATTACATTAGCCTACAGATTTTTTTTTAAATGAAATGGTAAACAAATGTTTTTCCGTTAGAAAAGAAATATTTAGTACTGGTTTAAGGATTAACATGAGAACACATTTTTAAGGCTAGAAGTACTAGGTGGCAGTTTGAATCCCTCAGTAATAGAAATATCAGATATTAATTGAATAACGATTCCATGTTGCTCTTTGGAATTAATGTGTGAGTTCACAATATTGCATAAATGTCTGCAGAGACATAATCTCTAAAATCACATAATGAAGAGTTATGTAGGAATAACTTAATTACCACCAGGACAAAAAATAAATCATCTGTTATAATCTACAAACTGCAACCCAATACATCAAGCCACTACTTGCAGTAGAAGACGTGGCTGAAGATGCTAAAACCAGTTTAAAAGAGTTTCTGCTGACACTGCGACTGTCAGTGACTTCTGGCTGTGCTGGAACTAAACTATTCACAACAACTGCGACTAGACTATTCACAAGGGACTGCTCACGAACCAGTCAAGCTTCTACCATGGAGGTCTACCAAAGCCAGGAGAAAAGTCTTACCCTGTCCCTCAGGGGGCACTTGAGCAAGCCCCTGGACTCCTATGCCTCCAAAAATTACTGGCCCTATAACTGCCACACTCTAGGGATGCCCAGAGAGCTTTCTGCAAAGCAGTAAAGAAAGAAGACTAAGAGTTATATAAAGATTACGCGAAGCATGGAAGGGATGTAATTGCAACACTCAGCAGGTCATGAAGAGATAGAGCCTTTTTTCCCCACCACACACCCCAACGAAGATATTGCTATTCTATTATTGCTATTGCTATTATGCTGATTTCATAAAATTCTTAACAGCATACTAGGGAAAAGTAGAAATGGCAGCTGTAAGTAACCTCAGTGTCCTGGATTCCAAATATGTACTGAAGAGCTTAATAAATTCATCCAAATCTTTCCTACCAGAATATTTCACAATTTCAGAAATATTAGAGATTTTTTCAATTTCTGCAAATGGAATATATTTCTTCTTCATTTCATTACAACTGGGAAAACTTCCATTATTTTTTTTATATAGCACAGGAAGCCCTGCAGTAACATTCAGAAAAGTAATTATCCTTCTGTTTGGTTGATTCTGGTTTTTTATAACGAAAATATTACCTGCCTGATTAAAAAAAAGGCAAGTTTGTGACCTAATTTAACAAAGGAAATGAACTGTGAAGTTATAAAGCTTGAAACTAAGGGGAAAAAAAAAAGTCTGGAATGCAATTCCCTCAAAACAATTTTATCATCATCTGGAAACATAATTTCAATGACAGGTTGGTATTCTGACTCTGATAATATTTGTATAAGTCATTTCAGCACACACATTATTTTATTGCAAAGAATATATCCATTTTATCTTGAAGCAGAAATAGCTGAGCTTTTCTCAAAAATTATGCTTTCAAAGTTCATTTGATAACCATTTGTACCAAAAAATTATTTCACTATGAAACATAATGTTTCCTCCCATACCAAGTTATTCAATTTAATTTTACTTTTTCTGGATTTTTTTTTTTAATTCTTAAGATGCTGAAGAATGAGAAGTCAGACAGGAAAAGGAATTTGTCTGGGACAACTACTCCAGCATCTGGAATAAATGGTAAAATAGGTCAGCCAAACCCCCATCAACTCCTACGCTATCTTTTGATGCAAATTTTCTTTCTGTCAACTGACAGGAGACAGAAGACAGCTGTACTAGTTTGACCTCCCCACACAGAATTTGTGGCTACAGAAATATTCAATAGTCACTACAAATATTACATAGACTTTTTTTTAAGTCAGTGTAATAAAGTCTGCTTTGACTTTCATACCTTTTACTGTAACTTAATTACAAATTTTGCAGTTACTTAAACCCTGTCTTTGTCTCGGAGAATTCACTGTCTGGGCCCAACGCAGGCAGTAGTGACTTCCAGTGCTGCGAATTTCAAGCACAGCTTTATGTGCTCTGCACAGGGATTCCTGAAGTGTTTTACAAACTTTACCCTTACAGCCCTTCCCACACAAGCTAACCAAATCCAAACAGCAAGGTACATGATGTTACATCACCAAACTGCGTTAAACACAGCTATGAGGATTTTCTGGGTGGGGACAGGGAGCATTGCTCTACATATAGGTTACACACTAGGAAACGTAAAGGTCTTCAAATAAGAAAGGTAAAAGAAAATTACCTCACTGCGTTCCTGCTAATGAGAAAACATTAGGACTCTGTTATTTGGTTTTAAAGATGAAAACTTGGGGGAATCAACAAATGTGTTATTACCCTGATTCTTTCACATTCCTAACTCCTGAGACCATCCTCCCTCCCACTTTTGAAGGAAAAACATCCTTTCCAATGACCCCAAGTTAACTCGCAGCATTAGAAGGACACGTATTTTAGCTGCCTGTAATTTAAAGTAGCAGCTGTGAACAAGACACTGCATTAGAGCAGCCAGCTACTGCAGGCCACCACTGATTCATGGACATTATTAAGAAGTTACTACTGTAAGCCTGTTTACCACATTTAAATTATGTTACAGTAGCAGTGCAGCCACAGCATCTATTTATAGAAATAATTTCACCCGACAAGAGCAGCAACAAAAAAATAGTTAACATAGAAATGAAAGCATCTGACATCATCCTGTGACTTTGCCACAAAATTATAGGATGTGAAAGATCAGGAAGACAACAGCAAACTATCAGGATATTTGTCTGATAACTATCTGCCCTTAACAGAACTGAAGTTACACAGTCCCCAAAATGGAAAAGAAAAATAAAAGATGTGGTCAGGAGCTTAAAAAGGGTTCTGTATCTCAAAGCACTCGAGTGTTTCTGGTAAACTGAAAAGAACCTGAAGAACAGGAGCCAACACTGTACTTGGAACATTGCAGAAAAGCCACCAAAATGTAACCGAATTCAATACAATTGGAGAGAAAACATGTCAAGAAATGACACAGGAAAAGAAATGCTAAACAATTTCCAAAAAGACCTTAAATAAGACTCTTCACAAATTCAAAATGGAATCTCAACTGCAAACAACAGAAGGCAGTAAAACAAAGCAAGGAAGATGTAAAATGAAAAACAAAGGTTAAATGTCAAATATGTCAAAGCAGCTCTTTTAAATGTATCAGGGGAGGTCTTTAAGAGCATGTGCAGGCTCCTGAATTTTCCAGAAAATTAACAATTATTTAAGAAAAGCAAAGGCACTGCAGAGAAATTTACTCCACTTCTTGGCTAACTGCATGGTAGGCTTCTTTAAATTAGAAACCACATTTCTACCTGCAGGTGTTTGTACAAGTCATGTAGGTACACGTATATATGTATATAAACATACAAATGTTCATATGTGCCTTTTTCACAAACAGAATTTAGATATGTAAATATAAAAATCTATATGGGAACAAATTCAAAAACATATTAAAGGTATTTTAGAAGAAACAAAAAATAGGAGGGCATAAAAAAAGTATGGCCTCATTAATAATCAAACAGAAAAACATTTTTAGAATTATATTTGACGTATCAACATAGCACACCACTATCAGGTACAAATAATCTTTCTGCAAGCCAGCTCAATCAATACCAGGCATATTTGATTTCGGTAAATAACCTCCATTATCAAGAAAAGGTTTGCTTAAGTGAAAAAAGCACACATGACTGGCAAATGGCTACATGACTGCTTCTAATTTAACCCTCTGCTCAGTGTGTTTTAGGATATACAAATAAGGCAAGTGAATTTAAATTATCAGAAATTGTATTTGTCAGACGACTGTATTTGTCATAGATCATACGGCAAGCAGGAACTTGACTCCTGACAAGTGGGAAAAAAAATTCACTACCTTCTTTGGGTCCATGTTGAATTTCTTCCTTCCCATGGCTATTTGCTTATTTCTTTGTGTGGTTTTGCTACACATGGAGAAAAAGAAGAAACAGCAAGCAGTTATCAGTTGTCCTTTTACAAAAATAACTTCTGGATGCGGTTCTCTTAATTTGCATTTTGGCTACTTTTTCTTTTCTATTAAAAAAACAACACATTCACTTTCTAAAAGGGGGGAAATTATGTTACTATTTTCAGTTATTTCAAGTGATTGCAGCTTCAGAGAATGATACAATTATCAATTGGACCGTCTAAAATATTACTTCTGTCCAACATATTCTCTATCCAAACGAATGACACACCTGAACAGGATAAAGTCAGCCTTTAGAGACTTTATAATAGACTGAATAAGGGTGATCCAATGTTTATTTAGCATGATAAAGCTATTCTTATTTGCTATTCCTGGAAGATTTGTTCCAAGGTCTCACTGAATCATGTCCATACATTAGCATTACTTACCTTTCTTCTACACTAGTCAGATTATCAATTTCTGTCATAACCTCAGCAATTTCAAATTTTAATCTCTGCCAAAAGAAGGAAGGACAAAATGTTAACCTACATTAAAACACTTTTTTCTATAATATATATGAAACAGAGAATGAATCATGTACTACCACCCAATATGATCAATTAGGTTTTACTTTCTAATATTTCTATTCACCTGAAGAAAAGTGATGAATCTTATGGCTTCCTTAGATACTTAGCTTAAAAGGTTTTACTACAACTGTATGACTATTAAATACACGGATCTGAACTCCTGGTGTGTGCTCATCTCAGAGCATCAAGACCAAATTGCCATTTCCAATCTCAGTATCAGATTTCTTTACTCAGGTTTCTCACTCACTCCTCTCCTATACACAAATCTGTTGTTTAATGACTTCTTGATTACACAAATCAAACATGTACATAGGCACAGATTCCATCACATAAATACAGAAGTTACCATTTTTAAAAGCACATAAACGACGCATGGATCCCATTCATTATTAGTAATATCTAACATAAGCTATTTCTATGCTTCTAAAACCATTACCTGGAATTCATACCTGGAATTCATTACTGTAATTTAATCTACTGAAGCAGTCTTTTAATGAACTTTATAGATAAATTAATTACCTCAATATCATCAATCAGTTCTTTTTTCCTGCGACGAATATTTAAAAGCTCTTCTCTCTCTTCTATGGAGAGATCATCAGGCACTGGAATAGAGAAAAATGTACAGTATTTTAGCATTCACAAACATACCTCATAGCAGAAAACTGAATAAACCTGATTAAGAAAAGTAAGTTTACACGAAACTTTAGGGCATTTTTTAGCTGAAATCACTTTCAGAAAAAAACAAACCAACCAACCAAAAATCAAACCAAAAGAAAAACCTCAAACCTAATTTACTGGAATTGTACTTTATAAAATCACAAGTAAGGTAATCAAATAAATGACTGTAGACAGAATCTACCTTTCAAAAGAAAGCTAGAAAATCAAAGGAAACTTGTCATCACATAATACATGGTAAGATTTGGCTCTACAGCTTAATTGCCAAATTCAAGTCTGATACCATTTGAACTATTTCAGTAACAGACCAAAATTCTTCATGTAAATAATGATGGTTCAGAAGACTATCTTTCAGGGGAAAAAAGCCAAAGAATAGCCAAAGATACATAAGATGTGTATCCTGGTGCTGAATTCAAACAACATCATAATTTTAGCAGGACCCTTTCATTTAGTTGCTTTGTAGAGAAGAGACGCAGCCGAGTGCAATACTATTAACAACCTCACCAGCCAATACTTTCCATCAGTATAAATATACAAATAGATAAATACACAAATAAACACAGTCAGAATCAGTTATTTAGCACAGTGTATCACAAACTTATGCTTTTGTATAACATTATTTAAGTGAGTCTGAAGTATTTAAGTCAATTTTAGGTCTCTCCTTGGCTATGCTAAAACAAATATGTTAACCTGTCGATAAAAATTACTCACTACTGAAGACACAACCGTGTTTCTGTACACAGCTACAGCTGTCACTCTCCCTAGCAGCCCCTTACCTCAGAGACTCTGCCTGACAACCAGCACATGTGAGGAGTTACTCACACAAAACTTCTGCAAAACTTCAGCAAATAGGTTTTCCCTAGCAAGAAACTTCTCTGGACAGAGATTATTCCCATTTACTTGTACAGCACTAGGCACCAACCACAAATATTCTCCTCCTCTGCAATGATCCTATAATAACAGCTTGAATGCTACCCACTTGCTTGGAAATGGCTCCTCAATTACAGAACAGCTTTCCCTTCCAGCTCATAGAATGGAACAACAAAAACAATTATTAAGAAATTCAAATGGTTCTGCCCCAGCAGCAACACACAACAACTGCAGTCACTGGGGATGGCCAAAGCTGTTTCTTTAGGTCGTATTCACATGTAAAAAACTGTAGCAACAAGATCAAAAGCAAAGGCTTAGCTTGAGGGGAGATTTTTAAAGACACATTTGAAACACAGCCTCTGTTCAAATCTTAATAATGAAATATATGGATTATTTTCAGTATCTAGTGGCTAAGCTCCTTTCTTTTCAGGTTTGAAATCATAACGTAAAATCTGAATGACAACAGACCTCATCAGACATGAAGTAATCATGGCAAATGATCTCATTTAACTGCTCCAGATACAAACATGATTAAATTACTTCTAGTTCAGGAAATGACAGTCTTCTGTTGAACAAATACCAGACTTCAATATGTTTACCTGCTTTTTCCCTTCATCTCAGCAGAAACTCACCCACTCCTAAAAATTCCTTGCATGCAAATACTGATAAGACTCTTTTCACATCAAACCTTATAAATACATGTGCCTACATCCCATCTTTGTCTTACACATACACTCTAAGATCAAAACTCAGAAATTTTATGACTAAACACACACTGTGTACATACACAAACCACAAATATTCCAATTAGTTAACTGAGGACTGTCAATAAAAATGAAGACTGTGACCCAACGTTGATTATTAAAAGGCAAACTGTGTATAATCAACCACTCTCTCAGCTAGGAAGTACACTCAAGTACTTTTAAAGCATTTTTGCAGTATTACATTGGTAGATTAAATTAGATTAAAATTTTGCAGTACCACTATTAGTAAGAGTTCTTCATTATTTAACTTTTGGCCACAGCAGGCATTTCGGTAACTCTCACCTTCGTTGGCAACTGTAAATATTAATCAGAACCCAAACAGAAATTAATCTTTACGCATTAAATATTTAGAAGTCATAGACGGTGCTTGATCTTTCCTCAAGTTGAGTATAGAAAATCCTGGATTAGCTTCTATCACAAACTCTTCCCACAGCAGAACGACAGTGAGTGGTACTGCAGTTTCTTCTCCTTTACATTATCACACAGTGAAAGCTCCTTTGGACAGGACTGGAATATCCAGAACAAGTGAAATTGCTATTTGGAATCAACACACAGTTTCCTATGCTCAAGCCACCCACCAGAGAAAAGAAATCAAACACCTCAATTCTCCTCCTGCAGCACCCAAACACTGTCTGCTGTGCATTCTCCTTCCCTCTGATCACAGCCGCAGCAGAGAGACATCCCTCACAGTATAATTAATGATGCTGCTAGACAAAACCAAAATAAACTAAATGGAGTCAGGCTGCCTTTTGCATTAGGAAATAACATCAACTATTTATCTGCCAGGTGCAAGACAAGAAAAGTCTGCTGGAAGATTCTACACTATGAAGACAGCACTTAGTGAAAACTGCACATTAATGCCACATCTTTAATGTCAGAGCCAAAAGATTCCAGTACCTTTCAATAAAGAGAACCAGGATACAACTCAGCAGGGGTTACAGTACTGTTCAGCTTCCAGAAACTAGTGGTAGTCAATATTCTACTTCTACTCACACTACCAACACAGAGAAGGAATGATTGACTTGTCAGGATGACTCCTAAGTGCAGTGTCCTATTGTCACCATAAATTGCATATGTGCAAGATATTGAAGATGTCTGCCATTTTCTCAGTCTTGTCTTGGTTTTGTATCATCACTGCCGCCCTTCAGCGCTGCAGTTCATGCCGACGGGAAAACATCGATGGGAAAATGAACTCACAAAAAAACCCCAACAGTTCTTAAGAGACTACATGTGGTATTACAGCCTGCAGCTTCAGAGGCTGAAGGAAGATATTCAAGTGCAGACAAAACAAACAAACAAAAAAGCCCAACCCAACCACTAACACAAAAGGGCACCCACCACTAGTTAAACCATTTCCTCACCAGTAACAGAAACTAAGGATCTACTCTGCATTTTTCATGTCAATTATTCTTTGCTTTTCATTGATCCCTAATGATCCAAAACTACCTAGAAATCATTGCAAACCCTACATGCTACTTGCAAACAGATAAAATGTTTCCTCAGTGATAAGACTCACATGTCAATCACTAATTCTAATTTGAGCATGGGGTGCCTTACACAACCTGTAATGCATGGACCACAGTGAGAGCCTGAAAACTTTCACTAGAAAGCAAACCTGTAGAGCTGTGGTGCCCAGGTGTTCTTAGAAAACGGAATAAGCACTTTGAGTAGTTCCAGTTTGAAAATAAAAACATTCCTGTTATTTATTCAAAAAATTTGAAAACTACAGTTGAAATGTTTGGCATCAAGGCTGATGTTAGACTCACGGCAAGAAAGCGGGAGATCGTTAACAGCTAAAGAATAACAACAGTGCATTAAAACATCTTTATAGTCCTAAGCAAACATAGCAGATACATAACAAGTGGTGGCCTGCCCTGGTAAGACCCCTTCCATAAGCCAATTTTTGACTAGAAGACTTCTGTTTTTTTCTAAACCTTGCGTTCACATAATCCTCCACACAGAAGAGCTCGCAGAGCACGTGTTACGTGTTCATTCTGCAAGACAAATTTCCTAGCTGTCCTCTCTGAGTCATTTCTAAGTTTTTTGTCTTTCACCAATTCTAAACACAAAGCAGACAGGATGGGAGGAGTTAGCAGGAACATTTAAATACTGAAAGAAAAAAATCATTTCAATATAGTGAACAAACTGTAGCTGCAGCATGCTTTCATGCTATCTTTTAATCTTTAAATAAAGACAATGTACTAATATAAGTGACTTGTGTGTAAACCTCTTAGCTTACAGGGAGAGCATTTCCTTTTTCTAAAACTTCAGTTTCAACTACTACTAAATAGAAAGGGACTACACCTACTGATGTTTTATTTAAGAGGAACAAAGTTGTTGCAAGTACAAATTATATTCTTGGCCAAGTGGTAAGAGACAAAAACACATCACTATATATGTTGCTACTAATACTACTACTACCACCAGAAAAAAATAATTAATATATTCCAACTGGTCTATATCTGTTCAATTACTGTAACTGGTCTAAATGTACTTAAATGAATTTCCTCTAAACAAACACTTACTGGAATACCCACTTTTACTATAGGTAATAAATATGCTAGAAAAGAAACCAAGCAAAACCCAAACTATAGCTTGCACAGAAATCAGTGTATTGTCCTGCAGTTGCTATGTCCCTGTGTTAAATAATTTGCTACTACTGACACCACCCGTACAGTATACAAACAGGAGCATTAGCCCAGAACTCTGACAATTTGTGAAGACATAAGAAGCATTTTTGAGCAAGCAGGCACCAAAAAAAATAGAAAAGTCCTTTCCAGAGTGAGAAACTACTGCAACAGAACAACTTGCAAAAAAAAGTCTGACAGGTTAGGGAAAATTATGATCAAATCCCATAATAGGAGACAGAAATTTGGTGCTTTCCACGTCCATCCCCCTGATACAGTTATATTTTTCAGTAGCGGAAGTTAAATCCCTTCCAGCTCTCAAATAGTATTATATGAACTAAAAGTTCCGTGTTTAATTTTATTTTTACTTATTAGCCTTTTGACTGGCAGCCACCAGCCAAGGTGTAAAGCAGTCTCACTCCACCTCTTCAACTTCAGAGTTCAGTCTCTCCAGAGGACACGGTAAAATTATTCAGAGCTGTCAGAAAGCATCTGATGATGGATAAAACACTAATTCTGTGAACTGTGAAGCAACACGACTCCATGACTCTCATTGCTCAAGGGACTTCTTGGTTTCATAAAAATAAATATTTTCCTTCTTCCGTGTCAGCCCGAAATTGGTGGTCTTAAGTATTTCCATTCCAAGTAAAGAATAATTAGATGGAATTTAATTTTGCTGCAATTGAAACATCTTGCAAGT